CTGTTTTGCTATTCTAGTTACCGAAGGATAATTTAAAAAGCAGGTGGGATGAGGTGAGTGCAGATATATTTTCCTCGACCTCTCTCGATATAACGATGAAGTAACGATCTACGATCTCAAAGCTGAATTCTTTTAGTGGAAGTTAAATTTTAGTGAAATTATCTTAATAACTTTGTTTCCCAACGTATACTAGTGTTGAACTTGTATTGAAGAGTAAAAACGATTTGGGAATGACGTAAGCTAACTTTATATTCTATCGAAATAGAATTCGTTTCTTTATAAACTATTTTTATTATTTTTGTTAAATATTGTTTTATGAAGAGGATGTTAAATTTCAAACTCATGCGTATAATATTGCAGATTCAATGTTTACCTTCAGAAGGAAATTAAGAAGCAATGTTTAATTTCTTCAATTAATTTAAAATCTCTATCTCGAAAAAAGAAGCATGATTCACGCCTGTCACATTCGGTCACCGATCTACGTCACGAAACTATGACTGATTATCATAATCCATCCAGATTGATTGATCAACGAACAACGTAACGTGAATAAAATTAACATTTTTTGCTTTCGTTACTTCTCCTCTCTCGAAAAATATGTCTAGACTTCCAAAAAAATTCCAGTAAAGAAGGAAAGGAAATTGGAGAACAATCCAAAATAAAGTGATCAATGATGGTTTTGAATGTTAAGAATGTATCTGTAATGAATGTGTTCCTATTTTAATAATCATATAGTTTTTAATATATTTAATATATTATAATCTATTATAATAATATATATTATCATCTAAATATTTATACTATAAATATATTAAATATATTTAACATATTATAAAATATACGATATATTCAAGTGTACAGAAATATTATTTAATGTATATTCAAGTATTAACATATACGTTATAAACTACTTATAATTACATACAAGAAAGAATAAGTGAAATTCAACAAATTCCTCTACAATTGTATTACAAGATACACATGCAAGTTAAAAACGTTATCATCTGCAATAGGATATTGAATATTAAAAATAAAGAATGTCCTAACACTTTTGAGCGACAGTACAACGTTTGAAAATCGTGTATACATAGAAAAGTAGTAAAAAGTCAAAAAAAAAATTTCTATTGTATTAAAAATCGTTCAGCTGTAATAAAACCAAAAGATGGTAAGCGATATATTTCGACCTTTCACAACATCGTGTAACTTGAGAGCTACATACTTACATTATATCAATTTACATCGTTTTGAAAACACCGAATGAATGATTTACAACGATTTTCAGTCGGAGTGAATGGCTACGATGAACCAGAATTTCGTTGAAATTAATTCATCGTCACACGATGTTTAAATGTACGTTCGTCAGATCGATAACCTCTGGCCAAACCGCATGCCAAAAATTGCCAATTACACCAAGGACTATTCGTCGTGTACTGAAGATTATATCAAAAAGACATTTACAATATATAAAAAAAAACTAATATTAAAGACGTGTACAGTATACACAGAAAACGTACAACATCGAAGACTACTCGTCGTATGATGAAGATTATAGATTATATAATGTACATGTATAAAATACATCTTATCTATCTATCTATATATATATATATATAAAAGATTAATATAATGTACATATATAAAATACAT